AAACTTAATCAGAACTGCAAAACTGAATTACCAAACCTCCATTTGGAAGCTTCGGTCCGATTTATATGTCTATGTCTACTTTTTTCCTAGTCTGAATGATAAGACGACGTTTGGTAATAGCGTTTTATCCCGCATTTTAAGCTTTACGTTTATGAATTCTATTGTTCTGGTCAACCTTTTTGTTTAATTTAAAGTTTTAATGCAAGACACAAGAGAAACAACTATTTAAAGTAGAGACTGAAAAGGGAGAGAAATTCGGGTAGCAATAGAAGTGTCCAAGACAATTATTAAACCTAATATTTGTTGTAGAGAAAATGAAATTTTTTTTTATTTAAGCAGATTATATGTTTTAAAAACGGGTTTTTCACTTAATTGGTCTTAATAATATGAGTCTTTTGTTACTACAGGTACTCGTGGAACAAGTAGGGGTTTTCGGTTGCACAGCGACAGTCAACTTCTTTGAGAAGCAGAATGCGATCTACCCATCACTCACAAATAACGATGCAATATACAAACATTTAAAGAAAGTGACCGTCGATTTGCTCGGAGATAGCCATTTCACGGTGGCTCCACAAATGATGGGAGCCGAAGATTTTGCCTTCTACTCAGAGATCATTCCGGCCGCATTCTACTTCATTGGCATAAGAAATGAAGAACTCGGATCAGTCCATATTGGTCACTCGCCTCATTTCATGATCGATGAAGATAGTTTACCGGTTGGAGCCGCGGTTCATGCCGCCGTGGCTGAAAGATACTTAAATGAACGTTCGTAAGAATGAAGAAAATCTTCCCGAGTTTTCATGGGTTGTTATATATAGAGATATAGTTTAGGTGTTACATATATCATTAATCTATCTTTGCTTGGAAATGTTAATGAAAAGTAGGCTTTTTTTTTTTGTGTGTCAACCGTGTAAACCGTATATTGCACAAAAAAAAAGTGTTATTTGCGACAAATTTTTTTCTCGGATTTTATAATGGAATATTAGACGTTGAGTATTTGCTACGACAAAATGGTAACTTCAACTATCTCTTATAAATTAACATATTCACAACAGAAGTTTCGTAGTATTCATGATTATAGGTAGTAAAATATGTTGGAGTAATATATAAATTTTTTTAATATTAATTGTATTGGGATTGATGAAGAGAGATGTATAATTATCCAAATATGAGATAATATAAATGCTATATTTAAAAACTCAAATATGGGATAATATGAGTTTTGATTTAATTAAATGGATTTAATACATGAAATTTCACTCGAAGCAATCAAGTGTAACGTTAACTGAACATAACTGCAGCGTTGAAAAAATCAATTGACCCAAAATCCAAGAAGAAAAAAATGCGCAATTCGAAAGCATAGAGGCGAGGAAGATTGCAAATATTTTGGGTCATACTTTTCTTGGTTCGCGTGGGATATTAACTTATACGTACCATTTAAGGATTGATAAACTATAGTGTGTTTTTTTTTTAATGATTGATCTTAAGATTTAGCTTGGCAATATACAACTTCAATATTTACTTTTTACCGTGCATAAGACAAAGAATAGCAAGTGGCGTCAAATGAAGATTGTTTTTTTTTTTTTATAACCGTGGAAGAT